GAATATTATGTGGGCCTTTAATGGTCTTTCAGTTTCCCATGGATGGGCCTCTAAAGGGAGGTATCTGGACGCTATATGTGCTGGGCTCGATAACGTAAAATCCTAGTGGGCCTTCCCTACCCCTTTTTGGGTCTCTTATAATGTAAGTTGAAAAACAATAGAGAACTCAAGAATAGTTTGATGGGCTTATCTCCATTAACACGATGGAACATCTATTTATATTAGCAAAACAAATGTATCAGTTACAAAGATTACATTGTATCCCTATATACGTGGGAGCCAAAATCATACATTTGAAATACAAATAAAAACCATATCATATTACAACTGAAGAAGTCCACACAGACTAAGACTCCTTATCCACACCCGTTATAGAGTTTGAATTTGAACAAGCAGATAAGCTTTGTCTAACATCCCCCCGCAAGCAGATAGGACGAGCACCAAGTATTTGAATCGCACAGTATACAATCCTTTGGTAAAAAGATCAGCAATCTGATCTTGTGAACAAACAAAATGAACAAGCAATTCTCCTCGAACCACCTTATCTCAAACATAGTGATAATCAACCTCTAAATGTTTGGTTTGAGAATGAAACACAGGATTGGAAACCATAGCAAGAGAGGACATATTATCACACCAAATTTGGGGAGGGGATCAACGAAGATGTAAATCCCGAAATAAAGAATGAAACCAAGAAAGTTCCACAACAGTATACGCAATTTGTCTATATTCAACCTATGTGCTAGACCTTGACACAGTCCTATGCTTCTTAGAACTCCATGAAACCAAATTCTTGCCCACATATATACAAAAACCACATGTGGAATGTCATGAATCTGGATTTCAGGCATAGTCCACATCAGAAAAGGCATGAAGTTGCAAGTCACCAGGCCGATACACTAATCCATGATCAAAGGTATGCTTCAAATACCGTAGGATTCTCTTCACTACAGACTAGGGAATACTCATAGGATTTTGCATGAACTGACAAACTTGGTTGACCGGATAAGACAGATCAGGTCATGTGATTGTAAGGTACTGCAAGGCACCGACAACACTTCAATATAAAGCTAGATCAGAATAGGACTCATTGTCAAGAGCACTCAACTTAAGAACACTTGTGGTGGGCGTGGAAATAGGCTTTGCTTCAGAAAATTTTGTGCGAGAGAGCAAGTCCAATGCATATTTGGATTGCGTCAAGTGCATTGAATCACCACTGCAATCAACTTCAATTCCCAAGAAATAGTGTAATGGTCCCAAATCCTTCATGGAAAATGAAGTGCCAAGTTATCTAATAAGTGTAGAAACATGTGTTTGGTCATTGTCTATCACCAAAATATCATCAACATCTATTAACATAATCAAATAGATGCCCTTTTGATTGTAAACAAATAGAAATAATCATACTTTGATTCTTGGAAACCAAGTTCAAGTAAATAGTCAGAAAATTGTTGAAACCAAGCTCTGGGAGCTTGTTTCAACCCATACAGACTGCGTTGCAACTTGCACACATGTTGTGGAACCTGCGAATTAATAAATCCGATAGGTTGTCGCACATACACATCTTCTGTTAGGAAACCATGCAAATAGTACTAGCCATTTATTTGAGATTCCGAAACTTAGAACCAAGCGAATAATACTATTTTTCACAACTGGACTAAAGGTCTCTTTGTAATCAATACCACAAGTGGGCGGTGTAGCACCATGCCCATGTCATCAATAATCACCATGTCCACGAGCAGTAACAAAAGCCGTAGGTCCATTCTCTGGCATAGGAACAGTAGAAGAGCTTCAAGGGTGTCACATGTGATTGGAGTGTCACAAGCTTGCACTGCACTCACGATCATTTCATAGGCTGGTCCGAGATTATTCATAATAATTTGGATAAGTTCATTATCATCCATTGGCCTTCCAGAAAGAGCCAAGTTGTCACCAATAGCATTCATGCGATCAAGGTAGTCACCCCCGGACAAATCACCCCTCATGGTTTGGAGAAACTCATTACGTAGGTGCAAGATTCTATTCTAAGAGGCAGAGGCTTATCTATGCTCCAAAGCTTGCCAAGTTGTGCGAGAAGTCTGATTTCTTGACATGGTAGAGAGAACAGATGAAGTCAGAGAGCTATTGATCCAACTAAGGATCAGTTGATCTTGTTGAACCCAGGTGGAGTAGGCAAGATTCACAACAGTATCCCAGTAACATTCTTAGGAGGACATTCACTAGTGCCATCAACAAATGACATAAGATCCCAACTTCTCAAAAGAGGAACAATCTGAGCTAGCCATAATGGATAGTTAGATCGATCAGTTTGATGTTGACGATGGTGGGTATGTAAGGAGCAGATACAACATTGTTGGTGTGGGAATTGTTGGTTGCCATGAGTTTGAAACAAGCATGGAAATAAATTTCAAGTCTTGAGACTGAAGGCTTTGGATACCATGAAAAACAATAGAGAACTTAAGAATAGTTTGATGGGCTTATCTCCATCAACATGATGGAACACCTATTTATATTAGCAAAACAAATGTATCAGGTACAAAGATTACATCATATCCCTATATACGTGGGAGCCAAAATCATACATTTGAAATACAAACAAAAACCATATTAGATTACAACTGAAGAAGTCCACACAGACTAAGACTCCTTATCCACACCTGTTACAGAGTTTGAATTTGAACAAGCAAATAAGCTTTGTCTAACATAAGTAAGGTATCTTGGGCTGACCTTTAGCCATTTCAGCCCAATTACTTCCTCATGTAATTTTGGCTTTATTTCCTAGTAAGAGTGGGCATATAAATCGCAAAATCGAACAATTGAGTCGAACTGGGTAGTAAAAAACCAAAAAAATTGAGTTGACAAAAAAGTCAACAACCGTTGATAAAACTGAACCAGACCGGCCATATTAAATATAAATATTTCTTATTATTTTATTTACACGTGGGGCTCTATGATTCGTGGGGTTATATGTCTTGCACATTAAAAAAGAATTGATATTATAAAGCAAGTTGGGTGGTTGTCTAATGCATGTGTGATGTGATGTGTTGGGAAGAGAGAAGGGTTCTTGTATGGGATCTTTTCTTATTTTTTGTGAGTTGTTTATTGAGGTCTGTTCCTATGCCATAATTAATCAAATCAATATTTTTTGTTTCTCATTTCTCACTCCTCTCACTCTCTCTCTCTCGCTCTCAATTCTCTCCACCTCCTCCTCTCATTTCTTCTTTCTCATTCCTTCTTTCCCTTCTTGTTTCTTCCTCTCTCTCATTTCTTCTTTCTTCACTGTCGACACTATCTCACTCTTCTTCTTCCACCTTTTTTTTCCTATCCCTCTCTTCTTCTTCTCTCTTTCTCTTTTTTTTTTCCTTCTTTCTTTTCTCCCTTCCCTGTGTCCACGCTCTCTCTCTCTCTCTCTCTCTCTCTCTCTCTCTCTCTTTCTCTCTCTCTCTTCTTCTCTCTCCTTTTTTTTTGGTTTTTTTAAACTATCCTTCTCTTCTTTTTCTTCTTCTTCTTCTTCTGCTTCTCTCTCTCTCTCTCTCTCTCTCTCTCCCTCCCTCCCTCCCTCCCCTGAAGAAAACCTAGCCTCAACTTCTTCTTCTCTTCTTCTCCTCTTCCTCTCCTCTCCTCTTTGTCTGATTTCTCTTTTTGTTTTGCTAGATCTGTTTTGCTCGATAGATTGGAGGACTTGTTTTTCATTTTGTTGCTGGAAAAATGCAGAAAGAGAAGCTGCAAGATTTTTGTTTTTTGTTTTTACTAAAATTTGATTTGGGGTTTTTTTCCTTCAACCACGCGCCGACAAATGACTAATGAGGAACCCGTGAAGATGATTGTTTGATGGAGAAGTTTGAATAAAAAAAAAAAGCTGGGATTGTTTGCCGGTCCAAATTGGGAAAACCGCAACTAAACCCGATTTGAACTGATCCGGGTTGGTTCGGTTAAATAATTAATTTTTCATCACAATCGAAATGGACCTAACCGGATGAACAATATGATTTTGGTTCTAAATTTGGTTGAGAACTGGGCCAAACTGGACCATGCCCAGGCCTATTTCCTGGGTTCTTTTTGGCAAGCCCAATGGATATTTAGTATCAACAATGCATGCATGTATAATTTCTACTCTATCACATATACGAAATGGGATAAGCAATAAATTGAAAATTTAAAAATAATCTAGACATATAATAAATAACAAATAATTATATATATATATATATAAATAACTGAAGCAGAGATATGTTTAAACTGAAGTGGAGCTTTGAGGCGAAGAGTTATAGATGAATAGAATGGCTGACTTGCAGCTAGGGCTTATTTTCATATGGATCATACCAGAATAAGGGGATTCCAATTCCATTCTAAAAAAAATTTGCAATGAAAATTCTTTTCCATTTCCGTTTCAAAAAATTTCAAAATTTCAACATCCATTCCAATTTTGAAAACTCGGAATTTTCGGAATTTGTGGAAAATTTCAAAACTTTCATATTTCGGAAAACCATTGAAAATTTTAAACATGTCTAACTATTTGAAAGGTTAAAATTGAATAATCATACGTAAAAGCTCGAAAAACTATTATATAATATCACTTATATGTTGTTATCCTTTATGAAATAGCTTGTCCATGTCTATTTGGTCATTAAGTCATATCAAATTCAACATAAAATTAGTCATTATATGTAGTCTAAGCTTGAACCTTTGATATATTTTGGAACTCGGAATCTTAAAATACATTTCAATTCCAATAATTTTTTTGTTTGAATTTTCGGATTTTGGAACTTTCGAATGTCGGAATTGATTTCAACTTGCCAAAATCAGAAATTTTTGAATAGGAATTTTCAATACAACTTGTACCCCACTTGCAGCCTATGGTTGGGGAGAATTCTCAAATTGAATGCAATATCGGGGAAGAGAGAGGGGATTATGGCTAAGTTATATTGCTAAACCAAAAAAAAAAAAAAAAAACATTTTGCTGCTCATAAAACTCAGCGTTTCTTTAAAGTAGTGGCAGCGTTCTTTAAAGAAATAATAATAATCAGACAGGGGCAGCGTGTTAGAAGATAAACTCCAGCAGCACCTCAAAACGACGCGTGGCCTTCTTCTTCCTCGTGCAGATGCGCCTCACAGAGCCACAAAGCGGCACTGAAGCTCGCCGCCGATGCAAATGATAAGCGTGCAAACAGCTAAATAACAGAACGCCTGAGCTCCGACGAGCACCTAGGCAACGCCTTCGGAAACCTAGATCTGTAATAAATTCTCATGTCTCTCCATTTTCAATTAATAGAAGCATTTTCTCGTTTCTAATAAGTAAGTAATTGTTTGTAGATAGAATATCAATTGAGCTTCAGCTTCCAGCTTCAGTAGAAGCCATCAATAGTAATGTTTAGAAGACACAATGTTGCTGCCAGGATTTTCGACCGCCAAATTTCCACTGTTGCTCCTGGCACTAGTGTACCTTCTTGTTACTCTTTACCTCTTGTTACTGTTATTATATTATTATTAATATAAAGCTGCATGGACAACTTCTTTTTGCCTCAGGCTTTTATTTATTTATTTATCTACTGTTTTTTGTTGCTTGTTTGATTTTTCTGGGTTGTTTAATATATTTTTCCGCTTCCTTTTCAGTAGAATTAGAAAATTTTTGTTCTTTCCTATGTATATCTTCATTTTTTTCCAGAAAGCCAAGGTCTTGCCTCTCTGGTGATCTTTATCTCTAACTTCATGTAAATTTGTCTTTTCTTCTTTTTCTATCTCTTTCTTTTATGACATGTTTATATAAGACTTAGAATATCTAGAAATGAATAGGGGACAGAAGTGGAATGGTAAAAAATGTTGCAATATTCTGTTCATACACTACAGAATCCTGAGTACTACCTGTAATGCTAATGCTTGCAGGTTCACCATACTAGGCGATTTTACGAGAATTTAGTCCCTAATTGTACCATATATGAAGTTGAGTGCCCAGACCATCTATACCGTAAAATCACTGAGGATGGTCAATACCTCATATGTTTCAGTAGAAATCATCAGGATCTGATTGTTTATAGACCCACGTGGCTTTCATATTCATGCAAAGAAGAATGCAATACTAATGATCTTCCCCAAAAAGCAAAGAGGTTTGAGAGCTTCTTCAGCCAACTGTACTGTGTATCACTTGCTTCTAGCAATGAGCTTATATGCAAGGACTTTTTTCTTTACATGGAGAGTAACCAATTTGGACTATTTGCTACTTCTACTACACAAAATCATGATGCGCCTGTTGGAGGAGCTGTTCAGGGTGTCCCCTCAATAGAAAAGATAACTTTTCACCTCTTGAGGTCTGCTATTGTTTTTTTCTTGTATAGATTATAATTTAACAGAGAACTTATGAAACTGAAATGTTATTGGGTGTTTTTGGAATCTTAGTCTATGCGTTACTTATTAGTTTGATAATCCTTCTGATGCTTAGATTGGAAGATGGAGTTGTTCTGGATCAGAAGTGCTTTCACAACGATTTTATTAACCTGGCCCATAACATGGGTGTCTTCTTGTACGATGATTTACTGGCAATTGTGTCAATTCGCTATCAAACAATACACATACTGCAAATCAGGGACTTCGGGAACCTTGTTGACATACGAGCAATTGGGACATTTTGTCGTGAAGATGATGAGCTTTTTCTCAATTCAAGCACTCAGGTTAGTGGCATATATTTCAAGCCTTTACTGAGACTTGGATGAATGGAATTTGCTAATATCTTGTCTAATAGGATCAATCTATAGAAACTCTGAATTCGTTGTTGATGAAGACTCCTGTGTTGTGTTTTGCTAAAAATAGCAATAATGAAGTAAAAATTGAAGGCAACATAAATTTGTACTACAGGTTCAAAACTTAGTTTTCCATTCTGTTTGTGGCTATTGTGTGCCATTATTATAGGCGGTTTACAGCTGGGAGATTGATTTTGGTCGAAGCTTGAAGTCATAATTGAAGGCCTTTTTGTTAAGCTTAATTATAGGCTAATTTTAGAGCAGATTTTATGTCCTGGATTCTGTATAAACACCTGTGTATTATACTCTAACATGGTGGATAATAAGAAGATTGTTTTTTCCTATCTTGCTCTATTCCCAACACTTCATCAGAGCAATATGCTCCTGAGACCGAAAACTCTGCCATCCTAACTGTACCTGGACCACTAAATAAGGATCTCTACAGCCTTAACCCACATTTTCCTTGCCTTTTCATTTAATCATCCACACAGTTTAGTAACTAATGCTGATTTTTCCTCATTTATTTTATCATGAAATTGACAAAGTTTGGTGATTAGAAACACTTTTTAATGTTTAATATGTCGAGCATTCGATTGACAAATCAACTTTTGATTGATGGCAGAGTATGCTTAGTCATGAAAAAGGTAAACTGCATCAACTGCCTGAGAATCCTGTTGAGAATGGTTTACATCAGAGTGAGCCTTCCTCAGACTATTGCTTTCTTAGTGGAATCAAACAGCGGTTGCTCTCTTTCATATTTAGAGGAATATGGAATGAAGAACCAGATCAGGCATTGGTTGGTTATCTCTGTCACTCTATGGTTCATTGTTATTTAAATGCTTTATCTTGCCATAGCACTTTGGAATATGTTTTCCAAGCTGCTGCAACGCATCACTTTGGAATATCTTTTAGATGGGGTTGCAGCAGATGTGATTTACATTAATATTTGTTTACCGGCATTTTCTGAAACCATTTTCATTCTCTTAGTAAGCTCTTGGGCTATGTGGATATGGTACACTTTATGCGTCTAGTTTTTATAAAATAGAATTGTATGAATATTAGCCTACTTTTTGGCACAGAAAATTCAAATTTAGGTGGAAAGATGTTTAGCGTTTTTGTTCTTGCCTGTAAGTATTTATGCTCTCAGGCATGCATATACTGATCTACTTCCAGATTGTGCAGAAATGATCTGAACGATAAGTGATCCAAAGTGAAACACTATCTTAAATAGTAACCTAAGTATGCCCCATAACCTAGCTAGTACAAGGCACTGGAGCATATCAATTACCAGGAAACAAAAGCAGATCACATTCCTAAAGCTGTACCATGAACCTAAATGTGCCACCATCCTATAAACTTTAGGGTAACACTAATATGCAGACAACAATGCCAATCCCTTAAAAGATCTGGGTTATATGATAGACAGAAAATCATTAAGATAGAAGCACAAGTATTTAATATGATGTTTAAGCATCCAACCCAAATGAAAATCTTGCACCAGGCATTTATTTGTTTTGAATTACTTGATATTATGCTTCAATTGGAACATTTATTTGTTCTTGCCTATGTGCGTTATTTTTTGTTTGTCATTAGCTCTTATGCAATCAATTTATTTGTATGTTTTGCAATAAATGTTTTTAATTTAATTAATCTAACTTATACGACTTTTTCACTCCAGAGGGTCCAATCCCTGAAGAAGAAGTTCTATTTCCATTTCCAAGACTATGTTGACTTGGTGATCTGGAAGGTAAGGCTTGCATTATTTTTCTTTAAAATGTAGATGTATATAGTTCAGCAATCACTTGCATAATCTTCACTGCTCCATATAACAGGCAATCTGATAATGCGCACCAAATATGACATGTAACAAGTTTGTACACAACTCTTGGACAGGTACAATTCTTGGACCGGCACCACCTGCTAATAAAGTTTGGTAGTGTAGATGGAGGGGTGAGACTTCTTTCTAGCATTACGCTCATATCATACTCGTTCTAAGAAATATTAACTTCATGTTTGGACACTCTTTGATCGCATAATTTAATCCTCCATCTGTGATAGGGTCCCTGAAGGAGAGGGGATAAATTACTCTGTCGTATTGAACCCAGATGCTTTCTGGAATGAGTCACCCTATCCATTGTAGTTGTACCATTTGTTCAACAGAGTTGACATCTGAATTTGACCAAGATTCTATATATTTAGTTGTAGATTTTTGGTCACTCTGGTATTTTTTATATTTAGTTGTAGATGTTTGGTGTCACTTTGGAAAATATGAATCTTGCTCCAAGATTCTTCATTTGTAGTCTTTGACATGTTCCCACTGCACAAATGTCACAAGATACTTTTGTACAAATGCTGGCACACATCACAACAGCTTAAGCTTTCGGGATAGTGGTAAACTAACAAACATTATCAGTATTAATGTGGGTTTCCCAGAGTTTGCTTTCTTGTGCTCAATGGGCTTTGTGCTGATTGAATACTTGATAATATTGGTTTTTTTTTTTTTTGGTATCGTTGGAGCAGGTATCACGTAATGCTGATCAGCACCCAGCCTTTTTTGCGGTATATAACATGGAGACAACTGAAATTGCAGCTTTTTATCAGGTAATTTTGTGACAATTGTTTTCTGTTTCTTTTCAATTTCTTTCTTCTGTTTTCACAGATCAAAACAAGACTTTGCTTTATTTGACATTTTTCCTTGTAGAATACGGCAGATGAGCTTTATCTCCTGTTTGAGCAATTCTGCGACCACTTTCATGCAACAGCAAGAAATTCATTGTATTTGAATTTCATTTCATCCCACTCAAATAACATGCATGCTCGGGAGCAACTAAGAAGTGCTAAAAATAAAGCAAGTAGTTCTTTGCAGGTGAAGTTTCACTATCAGAATTAGTTACATGCATATTTTATACAGCAATGCTACCTGTTACTTTTGCATCATTAAGGCATGATAGCAAGGTTTATTTATCAGTATGGTTACCTTCTGTGCCCAAACCTCATAGCAATGCTTCCAGTTACTTTTGTATCATTAAGGCATGATAACACGGTTTATTTTTTAATGTTGTGGTTGCATTCCGTATTTAGCTATGTGCCCAAACCTCACATATAATCAGTTGATGATCCTGCAGTTTGTGAAGAAGATGCTAGTTTCTTTGCCTTTTAGTTGTCAGTCGCAGAGCCCTTCTCCCTACTTTGACCAATCTCTTTTTCGCTTTGATGAAAAGGTTTGATTCAGAAACTAAAAATTTCCCATTCCATGAACTGCTTTGTTTGCATTAAGCTGAGGAATATAGTCTTTTTATGTGTATGCTCCAGTTATCTTTAGCAAGAGTGAACCTACGCAGTCAAGTTGACCAAATAAACTAATTTAATTTTTTAAACGTTGGAAAACTATTATAAAAACATAACTACAGAAACATCAATTAGACCAATCTTCTTGCATCAAATTGCATCTGATGGAGTTTTGCTTTGTGGTTTATCCTGTGCAAAATTTAAATGACATCACGTTTTATATTCTACCTTTATGTAATTGGATATTTTTGAATCCATTTGTAAGGAAAGCTATTTCCACATCACAAATTTTTTAGTTGACTGTTTGTGGCAGGTTTGAGTACAGGTTCTATGTTTGGTTTTTGTGTAGTCATGTGAATTGCTTATGCTGTGTGCTCAAATCAAATCAATCAAAATAATCAAAGAAACTTTTTTTGAACTGTGATATAACCTACGAGGGTTTAGTCTAGTGGTCAGGCCCGTGGTTTGTTCCCACGTTGTCTAGGGTTAGATTCTTCAAGGCTGTGTCCAGCTATTTACTAGAGTTTCTTGCCTCCCAAAAGTCGTAGGGTTTCTCAGGAGCCCCAGTTTGTTGACATGTAACGCACACGCAGTCAAAACAATTGAAAATTTAGAAAAGTAGACGGGTAAGCACACCTGCTTATTCTTGTGTGGTTCTCTCCTGAATGTGACACAATGCATTTTGATACCTTATGGGCAAATCAGTTTTGTCAATTCAACCCCCTCTACTAAGGTTTCACAATTTCAAATGTGTTTCTGGTGCAGTTGATTTCTGCGACTGATCGGCATAGACAGTCAACAGACCATCCCATCAAGTTCATCTTAAGAAGGCCACCAAATACGCTGAAATTTAAAATCAAGACAGGTATCTATCATTTACCAGTATTGTTATTTAAATGTACACATACACGCACATACATACATGTATACGTATATAGGGCCAGGATCGGGGGGACATACATTTTTAACACAAATTATACATTTTAACCCATTAGATTTAAACACATTCAAAGAAATTAATATATCTTGAAACTTATAATAATAAAAAGTGTGCTTCAATTCTTATTCTCTTATCTCTTCCCTCTCTCCACCAATCCTGAAGAATAAAAAGTATTTTACTGCACATTATTCAATATTGGTCTATCTTTCCACTTTAAATGTGATGTGTTCTTCTTCCTTACTAATTCTTTTCCTCTCTGCAAACTGACAGAAAATAAAACTCTTCTCAGTTCTTACCCAAAAGGAAACCTCTTCTGTCTCACCATTTTTTCTCCTACACTCTCTCCTCTCCCCATGATTGAATTTAAAAAAATAATAATTAGACAAAATTAAATTAGAAAAAAAAACACAAACGTAAAACCAAAAGTTGGTCTGTCTACACTGCTTCCTCCATCTCAAAACCTGAACGCTACTTATTCCATTATGTAGCTCATGACTTAATCACCCTTGCACTTTAAAAATTCACACGTACAATTTAACCCATCTACCCAGTTAATTTCATTAACATATCTGAAAACTTGAGCGGATTTATTTCACTTCCTCAAAATAAACTGTGGGTTTGAAGAAAATTATGGAAAAATGACAGTTTCCTCTTCCTCCAACTCAATCTTTTTCTGAATGTGATGCCACTCTGATACGGGAAGTTTGGTTCTCTACTGGAGGCTGAATTTGTAAAGTTTGATGAGAGTGACAAACTCTGCTAATGCATGATTTCCGGCTAGAGTACAAAAAAGTTTGATTTAAGTAAGAGAGAAGAAACCAGATGAAGTTTAGTGCTTAGTTTCAGAATTAAACAGAAACAAAATAAACAAGGAGAACGAGACACCACATTTAATGAGAGAGACTAAATGCCCCACCTCGTCAAGTGTGCAACAAATAAACAAAGAGAGAAAATAATGAAGTTATTTGTTGTGTGAGATGCATTTCTATCCATTGGATGATACAAGATGTGAAGGTTGAGAAAGTGTGTAAAAAAATATGGCTTTTTGTGCGTTCCTTGAACCTGACCCACACACACACATTGGTGATTGATTAAAAAACCTTAGTTGAGGATTTAATTTAATGGCCGCATGTGAGGTGCAGCTTGCAATGTGACCAAATCTTTGAAACCATGAATTTTTAGGTTTCCATTTAAGGATCATCCAAATCATAAACCATTGAGTCATCCAATTGATAAGATAAATAGACGAACACTGCTTCTGATGATTCACTGGAATGATTGTGATAATAGTTGAACGGCTGAATTATTTTCAATTTGGCTAATTTGATATAGGAATGTTAATCATGTCATCGAAACTATTGTTTTCTGATTTGGTTGATCATGTGTGTTGTGTGTTTGCTTAATTGACTTTTCAAACTAAGCACATAAATGATGCTCTGGGTTTTTCAATAGGTCCAGAAGCTGGTAGCACAGACAGTCGAACAAAAAAGATTTCTTCATTTATTTTTCATCCATTTTTGCCTCTTGCTCTCTCTATTCAGCAGAATTTGTCGTTGCAGCCATCAGTTGTGAATATTCACTTCCGGAAATGAATAGTATACTTCTTAGTTGGCTACTGGCTCCTATATTGTAAGTAGCCTTTTTGTGAAATAGGTAATCAAATGGAAATAACTGTATATTTAACATTTAAGTATATATAGATGCTATACAATGATGTGAGTAAACATCAACCTTGAGTTATTATCATGGATACTAGTGGTCGGTCAATTGCTTAAAGCCAACGTTTGTTGGCCACCCACTTGAAGGACAAGACTGGTGACAAGCAGCCTCGCTGTAGCTGCTCTCTGGTCGCGCTAGCGATTCTGGTCTTTGGTCGAGGCAGCCTCTGGGTTTTTCAAATTTCCCCATTTTAGTGCAAGGTGATAAAATTTCTTCAAGCCATTATGATGATTAAATTAAGTTTAAATAATAAAACTAAAGATTCAACAACTACAATGTAACATAAGCGTACAAATATTGTTTGGGCTTCGTGTTCCCTTCTTACCCTTAAATTAGTATAATTGTATGTGTATAAAGAAGTTACCTTGGGCGAATGTGGTGAACGGTTTTATAAATTTCGATGTCAATGACATTTTCATTTTATTTTGGTAGTTGATTTTGAATCTCTTGATAAGATTAAATTTTCATGTTTTGTCATTTTTAAATGTTTTACTGTGACTCATAGTTGGTAGCCAACCAAGTCTTTGGAGAATGCATGGCGCACTAGAGTGATCCAATATTTTTGATAAAGCATGAGCTTCCTGGAATGTTTGTTTCTGGCTTTTGTTTTTTTATTTTTAGTAATGTTGAGATGTATGCCTTCTCTTCTGGAGAAACATTATCACCTGACATAATATTTGCACATTATGTCATTTTTATCTTTCCAGTCTCTAGAAACGAGATCGTGGATCTGCTTATACCCACTCCTAGCTAGCTTGGAGCTGGACCCTGGTCCTTTGAAGGTCTCTTTTATGTATTCTCTATGTTATATATCGTTTCTGCCTACGAAATACCAGACGAAATAGAACGATCTTAGAAGGGATATGATGAAATTTTTTGACCATGTTCTTCCCAGATAAGTGATTCTGTTGTTATTTTTCCCAGATAAATGCTCCGTTCTAGTTATTTGATCAAATTAATTACAATCCTAGCTTGGAGCTGGACCTGGCCGTTCAACTTTCAGACCTCATACATGTGGAAGATCTCACCCAGTGAATTGATGGAATGCGTCTCTTCTGTGTCTGTTGAACATCTACTTTGGAAATTTGAAGAAATGAGGGGCATTTGTGAGAATATAAACTTTTCATCCAATAAGATAACTACAAGTGGACTTTAGTGGTGCCAAAAGACAGAAATACCTTCGACCAAGAAGTGGGAAGAAGCATGCTTGGTAATAGCTAGAGAAACAGTATAAATAGACAAAGACCTTCATGACAGTATAGTTTCTCATGATAAGACAATTTCGGGAGAGGAAAATTACTACATTGCAAAACAACAGTCTAACCTAGCAAAAAATTTCGGAAAAGGATTGTCAAAAGTCAAGGAAATACCAGTCAACCAAGGACTTTTAACTCTCAAGCTAGATTATGAGCTTTCAAAAACTGAATGCAAGAATGCAGAGATTAGGTTTACATCGGATGGCTATTGAAAACAAGATTATATTGTTCGGAAAGTGTTATTGTAAATTTTAGCACTTGCTGTTTCCAAGCCAATTGACACAGGGAATGAACCTACGCCTTCTTTGTTGAACTGGGAGTCTGTTTCGAAAGGAAAGCCAACCAACGAGTTTGAACATTAGGTGGGAGAATTTGTTTTCACATAGCCTTTTTAAAATGTGGGCATTAGGGTGAGAAGTAAAGTGGTGCATTTGAAGTTTGTAAGGTCATCTCTAGTCATAGGGCTAAATGTAGTTCATGACTATAATTTTAGCCCTTCAAAATATTAATTTTTCAAAGAATAGCGCAGGGCTAAATTTTTTCCATCCCTAGCTATGCAAGCTATATTTTAGGGCACTCCATATTTTATTATTTTGAGGAAAATTATAGTACAACACACATACATTCCAATACTATATATTGTTTAATTTAATTAAACTATTATTTAGAGATAATATTCTAGATATGACACATGTACGTTGATAAACTTTTATGTCCATGTGGCACGTCTTATCTTGAAGGAATCTTAATAAATTTTCAAATATGTTTATAATTTTTTTTAAAGAAAACAGAATTTTATATACATTTAAAACGTATAAAGAGAAGAAAAAAAAAGTTAACGTTTCAAAAACTAATTTTTTATAGTGCTGCTAAATGAACCCTAAAATAATTGAATACATCCTATGATCTAAGTGCACCATAATATTTAAATCAAAATGTAAAATTAACTAAGTACACCCTATTTTACTACTAAAAATATCTCTGGTACACTATATCACACAAACCATTTGAGAATTGAGTTTATAACAAGTTTGATAGATAAGGAGTCTGGAGGCTGTAGTATTCAAAAGGGCTTCAAGTTCATGATCATGCATGAAACAGAAGAGAAATAAATTTAGATGTGTAATTCCTGGTACTGGGCATGATGTGTTGTGCTAGATATCATATTAGATAGACATTGCAAACTTGCCGACATTAATGTGGTCTGGAGAACATGTTACTAAAAGTTGTCAATTCTGTAGGCCATTATTTTGTTGTCCTTGAGATAAATTTAATTTTATTATGTTCTTGCCCAATGAATTACTAATTGATCTGAGGGATTGATTTTATTAGGGTTGAATATGGTGAGTAAGATATACTTATTAAAATTATATTTATTTCAAAATTCAATATATATTTTTTGGTCATTTTATCTTAGGGTAAATTAGTAATTCAACAAATAGTTAGTTAGTAGGGTTTACTCAGTTAATTTTAGGGTTTAGTAATTCAAAATTCAATACATTTGTGTCATGTTAGCAACTTAACAAAAATATTTAACGAAATCTTATGACGAGATCAAATTGATATGTGAGGTGTAACATAAGGACCAATAATGTCAACAACGAAAAAAAAATTAAAGGACCAAAGGTGATAATTTTGCAAACCTCAAGAACCATTTGTGATAAAACCCAAAATATTTAAAACATTGTGACTGAACGTGACGGCGGGACTAAATTGATGTGTGAGAGGTAACATAAGAGACCAATAATGTCATAAAAAAAATAAAGGACCAAAGGTGATAATTTCGCAAACCTCAAGGACCATTTGTGATAATTTTCTTTTTTTTAATATATTAAAAAAATACGAATTTAAAAATATTTAGAAGGTTAAAAAAAGAGGTAAGGGCTAGCTGACGTTAGCGCGTTTTTAATATCAGCCTTTAGATTTGCAGTTGCACGAGAGGTTCTATGCTCACATCCACACATTATACTTTCCCTTCTTTGGACATCACATACGCTGGCCGCTGGGCCCACAAAAAAATTTAGCCTGACTATAGCTCGACTACAAATGGCCTGGGAGGAAGCCAATTTTATTTTATTTTATTTTTTCATGGCCGAAGATAGGTTTTGCATGTTTTGAGGGCAACATTTGGCCATGGCGGAGATGCCTAGGACTTGGTTCCTATTGCCGCTCTCCTTCCTTCTTCTTTCTTTCTTTATTCTTTCTCTTTTTGCTCTCACAAACAATCTTTAATTGTTTTCTTCCTTTACATGTGAACATCAACATAGTTTGTCAAAGCATTTTTCCTTATTTTGATATTTACTTTATCCCCCATATTTCTTCATTAACTAAAAATGGTTGGTTCGCAGCCAACTAACTCCTTCTCTAAATATGTTACAGTGCGTGACAGTCCGAAAGGGCTACAATAGTTAGAGTGATCCCAAAGTTGCATATGTTATACTAGACTTCCATTGGAACAACTTTCATAAAGGAGCCAACTTTATCTCAGCAACGAAATTTGTTGTTCGGACCCATAGAATCTGATTGACATTCATGAGCTGATTTGATGAAAACGCCGTCCATAAGCACCTGGGTTCCATGCTCTGGCTGAGCAATAGAGAATGGGTATTTGCCAAATACTGGCCACAAGTTGTACAAGAATTGGCGATCAACAATGTGCTTCCTTAAAATCATTTTTTTTTCCCAGGTCAAAAACGCTTTCCTTAAAATCTTTTTCTGGCAAAACATGAGAAAAAAACAAATTTTGGTACAAACAAGAGGAACTTTTTGAAAGAACAGAATCTTTCCTTTTTGGGAGTCCTTGAGGCAAATATTCTGAACTAGAATCCCAATTCAACAAATGAACTTGTGTAGAAGTCCCTTTTTGGGAGTCCTTGTGGCATAAGGATTCTGAACTGGAATCCCAATTCAACAAATGAACTAGTGTAAAAGTGGATCGTGTATCGCCTGCCATTACGATTACAACCAACTTGAGATGATTAGTGTTTTGCGACACATTCTATGTTTAGATTTAGATTTGGTTTCTTTTATCGCTAGTATCCTGATAAGTAATTCTGTAAAAATGTAAATCGAAGTATTTGTTTTTCTTTAAAAGTAATTCTTTTACTTTCACTAAACTGATGTACACTTGAAAGACGAAAGGTACAGTTTTATCCTTCACACAAAAAAATGTATCACTATTAAGTGCTAGAGAGCAATTTTTCACAAGGTCCCCAAGAGACCTTTGAAAAAGGGAAGCATAAACAATAATCGACAACATTGGCCACTTGCTCCACATCTGCTTCCATTGCTTTGTTCCAGTCATCATCCCTAAGTAGCTTAATCTATATCTACTTCCAAGGAAAATATAAATCAAAATATCGGTTCCCTTATATTGTCTTACGACATCTCCCGGAACCTGGCCAGTGCCTTCTTGTGAATGAGTGTTTTGTAACTATCTCCAGCCTGCACCTCCAGAGTAGGATCTAACTTCTTCTGTTGACTCCCAAGTCCTGCTCTCCTTTCCACCGACTGAGCCTGCACTGGTTCTACCATTCCACTTCCATCTCTTCCCAACCCCTGTGATCAGATGAATAGCAAAAGGAGAAAAGGACGCAATCCACAAAATATATATGGTTAGAAAATAAGAAAATAACATCTACCAAATTCACTTTTTGATCTATAGAAAAAAAATAGGGAACTGCGGAATCATTTCATCAGAGAAACAAGGGGGATTTCTTAAAACATTCAAGCAAATGCATAGTTAATAGAATTTTGAGGGTGTTGGCTCATTCAACTGGTAAGATTTCTTATTATCGTACAAGAATTAAACTCCACCTTCAGCAATTGGGAGATTTGGGATTTATTTTGTGAGGTAAAGTTAGTGAGGTAAGCTAAAAATTTAGAATAATCTTCAAGTGCAAAAGAAGGATATGATACCAAGCCTTCGTGCCAGCCCATGTTGCGAAGCATCTTGTTGCCCACATTGCTCTCATCAATTGCTTTTTCAGCTGTAATCACCTCGTAACTGTCAATGTTGGCATCTCCAACCGCACGTCCTCCACCGACACCGGGGGGAAAGGGCATTGAATCAAAAGAACCCTTCCTTGATGCAGAATCTCGATCTTGACAGTAGAAAATAGTAACCACAGGATATTTTACAAGTCAATTCAAATATTGTGAAATAGAAAAATGACTCATCCAACTTGGACAACCCTGTTTGGGTACTGAAGAACTAAATTTAGCTGACATGTTCCAATCAATTATGCAGACCAGTATGATAGGTAGCATGATAGATGGTTTTAATAACTGGAACTAGGTTGAGGCACATTTATAGATTGAGCTTGTAAGAAAGAAAAAAGGGGCAAGCCGATCGGAAACATATTCTTAAGAAAGCTTACTTGACTCCCCAAAACCAAGATCCGACGAATCATCTCCAAACGACAATGAAGAACCATACAAGCTCCTTCTCTCGGCTGCACGATCCCTATATGCAGTATGAGGCTCTTTAGGAGCAGAAGCAGGAGCTACTGGCAGTTCAGAAAATCTTCTCTTTCCACTCCCAGCAGCCACAGGTGGTGTATAAGAACCCAATGCAGATGCATCTGTTCTGAAGGGAGTCAAAACCGTGGGGGTATCAGCATTTGTTGATGCAGATACCATGCATGCAGCAGAAGTTGAAGGAATGGAAACTCCGCCAGATGATCCTGAAAACGAGGTATCTGATTTCACCACACCTCTTCCAGAGCCCCTTATGACTCCCATCAGTGTGCCCCCTATGCTGTTGCTCACAGGCCTTGGCATGACTGGAGACTCCAAACCAGCAGTCTCTGCAGCAGAAACAGTTGTACTAACCCTCAAACTGGGTGTAGTATTCTCCTTTGTGGTTGTCACGTCAATTTTAAACTTACTCTTTGTAGACTGCACAGAAGAAGCTGGCCTGTCATCAGCTGATACGCTTGGCTGATTCTCATCCAGAGCTACACGGGTTGCTTGCCCTTCGTGACTCCTCTGCTTCCACATCGTCAACACATTACTCATTTTCTTCTTGTTAGCCAAAATACTGCTCTTTGAAGCCAATTTGATCTCTTTTGCCTTTTCCTTCTCTTTTTTCTCTGCAGCTGCCTGGATGGCATCTGGTAATGATGCAGCTTTCTCAAATGGTGTTGAGGTTGTAGCTGGTGCAGAGATTACTACTTTTTTATTACTTGAAGCATCCGATGCCTTGGAAAGCTCAGATTGATTAACAGATGTTTTGTTATCATTCTGATCAGTGCAAGGGATGTATTGCAGAGTTTGCTGGTCATATGAATACCAAATCCCGTTGTTCCCATCATAGTAAAGACCTACATTGAAAAATGTACATAAGCATAAACCATGAAACATGGATTAGAAAATTGTGCTCACATGTGTATGCGTGAGTGAGAGAGGGAGAGAGAGAGAGAGAGAGAGTGTGTATGTGTGTGTGTGAGGGCAAGGAACAGAGTGGCAAATTAAAACCCACTCATTGAATAAGTTCATCCAATTACAACATCTATGACAGCACACAATATTAAGCTACTTAAACATTAGATGACTATTAGAGCTCCCTGGTCCCTGAATTTAGTTTTATAAGCAATAGCATTATTGGGAG